CTCTCGCCCAATCTGCCTGATGTCTCTCGTCTACAAACCCCTCACTCGACTCATTCTAAACAGAGTTAACAGAACACTGGGCGAAGGACCACATTCACACAATAACAAGATTTATCGAAATATCGCGAGAATACAGAAGAATGTTCTATCTCACTCTCACCATTTTAAGAACGCTTTTGAAATGGTTGACATAAAAACCAGTCATGGAAGCCATGGACAGCAAGGCGTCATCACCTTTCTACAACGATATTAACATCGATGTCAAAGGAGGGGTTAGGCAAGGCGATACCATCTCGACAAAATTATTTACTACCAACCACGAGAACATTATGGGGACATCGGAATGGGACAGCATGGGGGTCAAAATCGATGGTCAATAATTACACCATCTTTGCTTTGCTGATGACATCGTCCTGGTAGCACTAGCACCAGCCAGCCGGAACGAATACAGTACAGTTTAATAACACCTGTGGGAAGATTGATATTCGACTAAATCCCACAAAAACAATGTTCATGGGGAACGGAACGCCTTCGCATGCGCCATTAACGCTCAACCGAGCGATTATCTCCCGTTCCGGACCTTAAAATCCCCACTGGAGAAAAACCACCTGGAATTCTTCCGTCGGAGGTTCAAGGATCGATAGGAAGCTTGAAAAGAGGCACAGCTCCAGGACTCTACGACATCACCGTCAACTTCCTTCGAGCTGGAAGCCACAAATTACATGTACTTTTCGCAAATCATATGAGGACAGCTTACCTTCACAAGGAAAAAATCCCAGACCAGTGAAGGGCGTTGCGCACGGTCATCATACCTAATAAAGATGACCGCAGGGATCTTCGTAACTATCATTCGATATGCTTGAGTGTTCTCCACAAGTTTTTCACGAAGATTATCCTCTTGCGCATACTAAGGATATTGGAGGAGGTGCAACCAGTCGATTAAGCAGGATTTCGACAAGGTTTCTGCTGCATTAACCACATCAAAACTGTGTCCAGGTTCATGGAAGTTTGTCGGGAATACCACCTGCCGCTAGTCCTAACGTTTGTCGACTATAAAAAAGCGTTTGCTAGTGTTGAAACGAATGAAATCCTATGAACGTTCGTCGGCCAAAGAGTGGATCTGTCTTACATAAGAACTCGGCCTGAGTGTTATCGGAACTTCGGCTATTAAAATACGCTTTTCCATCGACCTTTTACAATACCCATAGGAAAAGGAATTCAACCGGGCGACAATATCGCCAAAGCTGTTCAGCGCCGCACTGCGGTGGGTGACGAAATCGCTCGTTTGGGATGAAAACGGTGTACGTATCGACGAAAAATCCTTATCAAACCGTTTAGCCAACGATATCGTAATTTTCCCAAGTACTAGCGACGGGGAGACGATAATCCGTGAAAGCAACGAAGAGGAAAAAAAGATCAGGTTACGCATAAACCGGAAGAAGGCCAAGTTCATGAAAAACCCATGAAGCGAAGACGAACAAATCGAAATAAATGGTTCTCTGAATGCAGAGGCTACCTCATACCTTGGGTGATCAATGAACATGGAAAACATGAAGGAGGAATCAGAGAGAAGAAGAGCAACAGCTTTGGTTGCATTCAGGCCTTTCAAAAAAGCCACCGAGCACCTGAAAGACCCGAAAATCTGCGCCTACCTTTTCGATTCAACGGCTCTCCAAGCATTCTGTTGTGCGGCAGAGACGTGGGCTCATAATTCAACTACATCAAGAATACTGCGCACTACTCACAGAGCGCTTGAACTATATCTCTTGAATGTGTCGTTTTCTTGTTCAGCAATCGCGAGGTTTTTAAACAGCATACATTTACTTCCATAGAAAAACACAATACAATACAACGCTAGCTGACGTTTCGGCAGTATCGCCTTCTTCAGAGCTTGGAAGGGTATACTGATATACAATCTACTAGGCCAAACGCTTCAATAACACTTACAAAAAGACGAAAGACTCTTTGGTAATTACACGATCAACAACTTCTCGAAAAAGAATCGTAGAAAGAAAGAACGTATCGAATGACTCCGCAATGCAAGACATCTTCGAACTTCTTGTTGAACATGAAGGAAGAATAAATATGCATGGCTTGTCTATCCAGCAGCTAATGGCTCTCTTAAAGGAGTGCCTAAACTGCTCGATTTTCAGATGGTCTGGGAAATATTTCGCGCAAATAAGGGGGTTGGCAATGGGACAGCGATTGGCACCAAGCCTTACCATTGTGTTTATGTCTAAGACAGAAGCCCCTGTTCTCGATCTCCGGCCACTACTCTACTGCAGATATGTAGATGATTGTTTTGTCGTCTTCTCTACGCAAGAGGAGATGGACAAATGCTTTGAATTATTGAACGAGCAGTCCGAGTACATAAAGTTCCCCCGGAGAAACTGAGAGAAAACTGGCTTCCGTTTTTGGACGTCCAAATAAACCTATCAAGTAGCGGTTACCTGACAAAGTGGTATCGAAAGCCAAGTAACAAGAACATCCTTGTTCATTTCCTTTCTTCCCACCCTTCACACACAAAGAGGGCGATTGTGAGAAACATGTTTCGAACAGCCACCTCTGTGTGCACTACCAGGGAACTAAAGGAAGAGTCGCGCGACTTGGCTCGGCAAATAGCCATCTCCAATGGCTACGAAATAGTAACCCCACGAGATAAGTTTACAAGGAGAACGACGCGCCCACGCGAAACACTTGGCCAAAAGAAAGTCCCGTTCATGGTGCCTTTTATAAGTGATGAAGTAAGCGTAGCTATAAAACGATGCTTAAGAACGGCAAGTCTAGAGGAATCGGTAGCGATAGTTGAAATACCACCGGCTACTCCACGTCGTCAATTAGTTCGCAACCGCCTGTATGACCGTCTGTGTGAAACAACAAATTGCGTAATTTACCCTTACGGCAGCGACGGTGATTGCATGAGTTCAGGTACGATATACCTGATCTCTTGTAATAATTGCGGAGATGAACATATTGGCGAAACGGACAGACCTTTGTGTATCCGTATAAAAGAACACCTAGATGGCAAACGAAAACTAAGACGAAGCACCCCACTAGGCACGCATAGGATACAAAAGCATAGCGGAGACGATTTTGAAGTAAAAGTCNGACGGTGATTGCATGAGTTCAGGTACGATATACCTGATCTCTTGTAATAATTGCGGAGATGAACATATTGGCGAAACGGACAGACCTTTGTGTATCCGTATAAAAGAACACCTAGATGGCAAACGAAAACTAAGACGAAGCACCCCACTAGGCACGCATAGGATACAAAAGCATAGCGGAGACGATTTTGAAGTAAAAGTCAATATCCTTGCACAGGAGTCTGAAACACCAGTGCGAAACTCCTTGAGGCTTTTTGGATCAATGCCAAAAACTCTACAATGAATAGCAGGGATGAATGCCCGGAGGTCATACGCGACCTGATCCCGTACGTTCGCATCGATTTTTGATGTGGGATGGTGCAATTGTCAACCACATGCGACTATAATCAGCTGTTCTAAACTTCCTCATTGGAAGTCACGAAAAAGCGGTGGGTTTTTTTCGAGAAGTTGTTGATCATGTAATTACCAAAGAGTCTTTCGTCTTTTTATAAGTGTTATTGAAGCGTTTGGCCTAGTAGATTGTATATCAGTATACCCTTCCAGGCTCTGAAGAAGGCGATACTGCCGAAAGGTCAGCTAGCGTTGTATTGTATTGTGTTTTTCTATGGAAGTAAATGTATGCTGTTTAAAAACCTCGCGATTGCTGAACAAGAAAACGACACATTCATATTCCAACATTGTGTTTTTTATGGAAGTAAATGTATGCTGTTTAAAAACCTCGCGATTGCTGAACAAGAAAACGACACATTCATATTCCAATGCCGAGGTTAAGAGAAAGTCGATCCTGGGAACTATATCTTCTGAAATATAATCCGCACACTCAATATCAAGCCGAAATGCGAAGCTCTGTTCTTCGAAATCTGTTCCATCATCAGGATCCAAGAGAATATACATCGATAGCAAAACACAGATGGGTTGGTCTCATAATGAAAAGAGTAAACGATGGACGAGAAGAACTGTATTGTGGACTTCACGAGAATGCAAGTGTGTCTCTTATAACGGCGACCTATACTTTGGGTGGACGTGTTTTCGTAAGCAAGGTTAATCAGCTGTATTCGCAGCTGCTCCTCTTTTACAGATCACGGTATGAGACTCGCGCGCACCACCATGCTCGAATAAAACCACCATGGACGACGATTGCGAAAGAAAAAAAGGAATGGCAAATGTGCTGGGGTCCGCACAACTCGTAAAGACAGACCGTTCAAGTATTCAGTTATATATATATATATATATATATATATAACATTTTTTGGATACACATTTACACAGATGTGTATATGCACGTATGGATTAGCACTTCCATTATGTGCACTAATTATGTGCAACATTTATCAGGGTTGAAGAAGTGAATATTCTGTTTAAAGAAGTTACTTGATAAACGTGCAGCTGTGGGCAGATCAAGGTGGTCTCCACAACCAATTGCTCCAGTACCTAAAACGATGGCTCAGCAATACACACCGAAACAAAAGAAAAGTGAAGTTGTGGAATAAAAACCAAGGCAAGCATTTTTCATAGAATTTAGAAATCTCGATAATTCAACGCAGGAATTAATAATATTTAGTCGGCTGCAACGAAATACCCATGGGAGCATGTGCTGCTTTAATTCTTCGTATTCTTGTTGAGCAAACGCGAGGTGTTATTTTCATTCCTTATTCACGAATAAGCTGACGTTTCGACGGATTTCGCCTTCCTCTTTTTGCTGTTTTGATCTCTAATATTTGATCATTTGGGTTTATGACGAGCCACCATTTTCAAAATCCTCGACCAAAACATGTTAACGACAGGCCTTGTACTACCCATTTTTCTTTTCAAATACAGTAATACTACTCATCTACTCCCTTTACCGCTATACCAGATTTCAAAATTTTATCATTGTACTGCTATGATGCGAGTTCACTCCATTTTTCCCCTCTCTTGTGCAAAAAAATATAGGAATACCTTTTTACAGACTACTATCGACTCCGTTGACGAAACCTCCACCCATACAGATTGCGTTTCCTCGGACATATGGAACACAAAGGTTTTAAATTTTCCACGACTAGAAATCTGAAGTAACTTCCCTACTTACTTTGGTTAGATCGCTATTAGTAATTGGCGGCAAACTAATGACTAGTCCTTGAGCATCAATGAGACATGGAAGAAGTGGCAGATCGACAACTAGATTTAGATATCTGCAAGAATGTTTTAGTATAACATGTGAGTTTGATGAAATTTAAAAAATGAATAGCTGCTTTCCGCACATTTTAAAATAATTTAAAACTACGATCTTAACCTTTCTATTTATTGCCTGCAATAATTTTTCACGCCAGGATATCAGGTGAAATACAACTGCAATGATGCTGAGATATTTGCAAAACTCCAGACCGCAGGTGTCTGCAGTGGGAAACGAATGCACTGTTATCTTTTCCGGGGGGCTAACGCGTTCACCACCACACCATGCGGGTCCTTCGTTTCGCCTGTCTCTCAGCAAGTTCTCTCGAATACCGCCATCAGTATTCACTCGTCAACGGAATTGATCTAGGGAGCCATTAGTGAAATATCTCAGCATATTAATCTGAAACTGTTTTAGAAAGAAACCAGTAAAGTTTTATGAGGGAGCGTGTGGCGCAGCGGTTGGAGGCGCCACTACGACACGCGTGGAATCGATCCCCGCGCCCATGGCCCACTAAGCCCTCCATCCCTCTAGGGTCGGCAAATTGGTACCAGACTTGTCTGGGAGGATAGCAGCACTGGCTCGATATATTGGTAGGCCACCGCGTGTCATTGTAGACGCCAGATATGCATTCAGTCACCTCCAACGATACTTAATGAAGTAGAATGCATGGCGCATCTCTCAGGGATTGCTCAACGCCGACAACTTTATCCTTTACCCTTCTAAAACTTTATAGTGATAAACTGTGATACAGCACCAAAAAATTTTAACAACTTTGACAACATGTACCTAAAATAACTACCCGCCGTGATACAACACAAAAGCTGGTTGGTAGTTCACGTCAAAAAACACATATTTCTTGTATAAAATCGTACACCATACTGCGGCACATATATGTTGATTCAAAACCGTTGGCCGTCCATTTTCTCGTGTTTAACTTTAAGAACACATTCTCTAGCAAGTATCTATTGCCCATATTGTTGTTCTACTGTAGTCCAACGTACAGGGATTCCTTAATAATTTGCAATGCAACAGTTGATCTTCTCTTCATGAACCATTTTCATATATTATGGAGATCCCAACACTTCTTTCCACTTTGCAACCACTATCCACGAAGCTGGTCGAATATGAGTGTGGATTTGGCTCCGACTTGAGAACCACGCCTTCTTGACGAGTATTCGTTTAATAATCTAGCGTGATTCTTTCTGTCTTCCTAGGATAGTCTCCCTTGCTAGGAAGTTCCCACGTTTTAACACTAGGCCTTTATGAATTAGAGACAGTTTTCCTCAAAAACTGTTGAATTCGCACCGAAGGCTCTGGTGACTGTTTGATAATCTACAGCACCAGCACTCTCTACGCTCTCACGAAACTTACAACAGAGATACAGTGTCATGAAATAAATGAAATCTTCCAAAAACTACAGCACAATTGTCCAGCACTGGCCAATAGAGAAGATCCTCTTACAGAATAACGCTCGACATGAATGAATTGGGCTACGAAACCCTGCCGCGGCCAGAGCGTTTTCTGGTTTTACGGAATCGATGCTTCCAGAACTGCACAAATCTATACTGTTGCACTAAATATGCTTGTCTAAACCACTTATTGAGGGAAAATCATTACTACTAAGTCAACGTATCAACCTAAGCCGGTGATCAAGCTTGATTTGCTACAGTAGCACGAATCCTAACAAATCAATTCACAAAACACCCATCCTTTCCCTAGATTTCGTGTACCAACAAACTTTCCTCCACATTACTGTTGGTACACGAAATTCCAAAAAAGACGCTTGTGGATTTTGTGATCCAAGTATAAAGTGGGACAAAGGCATTAGTTACTGGAAGTATTTTTTTCCTCTCAAAGGCTTACCGCCTCATTGTGGCTGGGAGGTGGTCATTGGTGTCGAACTGTAATGCATAATGGAGAATTTATCTTCCAGCGGTCTCCAAGGCTGATAAGGAGCCCGATGTTTCCATTTGGAAGTCCAGCGAAGAATAAACCAATACCAGGAATCACCACTGTCCTAGCACCACAATAGTCGGTAAATGGTGAAGATGGTAAATCTTCCTCTGGGCCAAAGGGTCGGCGACTGTCTGGGAAGGCTTCGAAGAGACTGACCTCGGTACTCCAAGGAACTACGATGGCTCAACCAGCAAAACTCCAGCCTCAATATCCGCACATTGGGAGCTCTCGTCTACGACAGTGGGTGGTGAGACACCCGGTCAGAGGCGATCAATTAACGGGTTGCAAATGATGTCATTGAAAACGGACAGAAGGAGCACGCCTATGGCACACTATGGAGGCTGCTTCTTGCTTTGCAACTATAACACCAGAGAAGTGTCTTCAGACCCCGAGCTTTACGCTTCTCTTGAGGTCGTTGGTCTAATAAAATTCCATGTGATTGCTGTACAAGACATGACAAGCAGGCATCCTTGTTATTCGTCGAAGAAAATTTCCGTCACGAAATATCAGAGGAGTTGGCCTTGTCGGACACCAATCTATTCCCCATGTAGTCACCTCACACAAAATCCAACCACCGCACTTGGCCAATCTTTGTCTCCAACCTCCGCGCCAAAAGAAAGTCATTGTCATCAACTGGAACTCACCAACTTTTATGGCTATTAAAGCGAACTTGGCGCGCTCTACAATCCTTTGAAGTAAGTAATCCGCAATGGGAAATCTTATACATTCGTTGTCGAATACTTCAATGCTAGATTAGAGGCGAGCAACAAAAACAAAAACAGGGCAGGAAAGTTCGGAATTAGAGATCGAATTTAGAATGGAAACTTCTTGTGGAACTCCTGTCCGCAGTACGTTTCTTCCATGGGAATTCATTTTTCGAGAATAGAAAAAGTCGCCGATGGATACCGGAGTCTCCCAACTGTATAACTCATGCGGAGTTCATCCATATTCCCATGGACAGAAGATGGTGCCCCTTAGACACCTCTGTACTACCTGGGTTCTGTACTCCATCCGATCACCGCCTCTGTCCGAAGGTTCGATTCACCCACCAGCTAGGAAAGAACTCCTGCCATGGTCCAAGAAAAAACGGGGCAAAAGTCGTGTATGACGTGGATATTCTTAATAAAATCCTCTTCTCATGTGACTGCACATAAATGAAGAACTGACCGAGGACTACACGCTGTTTGTCGAAAGAATTAAAACTTGTGCCAAATACGCCTCAGTTCCCTAAGCAAGAAGATCGGACCTCATCTTCACTACCTAAAGAGATGCTAGAAAGGAGAAGGAAACCGAAGCTTGACCCTACTTCAACTTAACTAACACGACTGATAATAAGTGCCAGGTATAGAAGATCTTTGCTGTAGGATTTACATCGGTATAGTCAAAAAAATTTATCCCAAGCAGCTCAAAAATGAACAAGTCTGAAGAAGTGCTATCTCCACTATCCGCCATGATGAACGAAAATGGGACTGCCACCATATCCCTCAATGACATGGAATTCATAACGGAAACGTTTTATAACAATGTTTTCCGCTCCACGATTCCTGTCTCGGACCTCAAACACATCGCTGGAGTAGAACTGCCCAGGATTCTGCCCTCTGAAGCTCGACTTGTGACAGAAAGCATGAACAGATGCACAGCACCAGGAGCAGTTAATATTACCGCCGACTTCTTCGGGCTGGAGGTTACAAATTACATGTACTTCTCACAGCTCATATGACATTTTACTTTCAGAAGGAGAAAATCCCAAACCACTGGAGAGCGTCGCACACAGTCACCCTGGAAAAAAAGAGTCGCAGAAAGAATTTTCGTAGCTATCGTCCGATATGATTTTCGAATGCACTTTAAAAGCTGTTCGCAAAGATTGCCTTTCTGCGCATATCAAAGACCTTGGATATCAAAGACCTGTTCAGAAATCAGGCTTTCGACGTAGATTCCACTATATGGACCACATTCAAATCATGTCATACGTTACAGAAGTCTGTCGGGACTATATGTCCCTTGTCCTAGCCTTCTTCGACTAGGAACAAGCAATTGACAGCGTCAAAACGAACGCCCTCCTACCAATGCTCGTCGACGTTGACGAACCAAAAACTACGCTCACCGTTTATATTCAACCATCGTTTCAGCGCCCCGCGATGAAGCAGATTTGAGCCTATTCTTCAACAACGTGGAAAACTCTGCGCACCATTAACAGAGACATTGAATAATGTATTCAGAAATATAGCGGGCACACACAAAGTTTAGCTGGAATTCTCAGATCAGATCTGCAAAACACCCTGTTTTCAAGATCCAAGAGAATATATGTCGATAGTGAAATAAGGTTAGGCCAGTCATTACAATAAAGGAGAACACGACAGATGAACGAAAAAAAGTGTGAAGTGGGCTTCAAAAGCCTTCAAGCGTCTTATCACCAGCACGATGTGCAGACATGCTTTTTGATCATATCGAGCATCTCAATTCACAAATTGGAACAATTCGCAGATCACGGAGCACGTCTCGTGGACGCAACCACGTTCGAAACAAGCAAATGGAAGATGTGCTGGAGCTTGCATTACCCGTGTGAAAACGAGCCATTCAAGTATGAAAGCATGTACCTACTTCATCAAGTAGAAAAAAAGGTATTCGCACTTGATCAAAACAACGATAACCCATGTTAGAAACTGGTAAAAAATGTATGTAACTAACCTATGCAAAGGGTTCAAAGTATTGCGTTTCGTCCTCTTTCGTGCCAAATCGGCATCCCTAGCAAGCGCGTTCACCAATTCGCGAGCATTTACAGGCTTCTTCTTATGCAGTGCTGTGATCTAAAAATATATCCACACGGTAAAATCTGAGTGAAAGGCCACTATTTCTCGAAAAGGTCAAACAGTTTTCATGTCTAGGCTTTAATGAATAGAATTTAGCAGCACTTTTCTCATTAAGATATTTTGAAAAGTTCAACTGATAAAATACAATCGAAAGAAACAAAGCCTGCCTATGAAGCTTTGAAATACGTAGCTGCACTATTATATTAACGCCCGAAATGTGTTGTATACGACGTACTTGATGCTAAAATAATGACCACTTTCGAGCCTGAGCTAAAACATTTCAAATGATATTAGGGTGATTGCTTGGATAATTGGATACCCATATCCACACCAGGAACACCTCCCAGCCATGATGAGGTGGTAAACCGTTGGGAGTGGAAGTGATTACAGGTAATAAACTATTTACACAATCAAAAAGATATCATGGAGAACGCAGACCATAATGATCATAATAGGCAGGAACAATGTGGTAATAAATACTATACTAAAATTTAAAACCGAGCAACGAAACTACTCTCCCTCTCCTCTAACACCTCTATAGAAAATGAAATTGCAACAAAAATTTCAAGAAGTTCGAAGAGTTTGTTGCTTAGAATTCAGAAAAAGGATTTAGGATAAAAATTTTAAAGAGATTTTAAAAGAAAAATGTAGGTGCCTACATGTAACTCATCAGGAGGAAGGGCAAGATAATTCAGTGGTGGCCTGAATGCCTTCAATTCATGTGTCCCTATCGCGGCTATCGTACGGTGACCACATAAGGATGAATCGTGAAGTTTTGTCTACAACGGTCATATCGTATTTTGATACTGTAACATTATCTGATGGTAACTCTAGGACCGCAGTAACTAATTTGCACCCAGTTTAAATGTGTACCTGTATATTGATGAATTTTTTGAAATGTTCACCGGTGAGATCAAGATTACTCAAGACACAACATGAAAGAAACGGTCGAATTGGAACTACCGACTCAAGACGTTTCACATAAAACTGAAAAATGATGGTACGTCATGCAAAAATAATGCCAACATGTAGGAGCTAATACAGTAACAGTAATTTCTTCAACGACACATTTAAAGTAAAAACTATTATGAATAACGCTCTCGACGTTGATCAATCCCTGAGAGATGCGCCATGCATTCGACTTCATTAAGCATTGTTTGGAGGTGAATGAATGCATATCTGGCCTTTACAATGACTCGCGGTGGCCTGCTGATGTATCGACCCAGTACTGGGATCCTTCCAGACAAGTCTGGTAACAATTTGCCGACCTCTGAAGAATGGAAGGCTTGCTAGAGCAGGAGAGCGGCGATCGATACTATGTGTGTGTTGCAGGGCGCCTCCGACCACTGCGCCACACGCGCTCTATTTCATTTCAAGCACCGCAAACTCCCATTCCGTATTCTTTCAAGCAATCATGCAAACTGCAAGACTTAGTACAACAAATCCAATTTTCGATTAGAACGAAAAATATCAAAGTCCAAAACAAGAACATACGTCTTCGGCACCCATCCAAACAATAGTTTCATTCTTAGCTAACGATTCTCCTGATATTAAATCTCCTTCGGCCATGCCAGTGGAGTCATGCATGGATAATTTCGAGATATTTTTTGAAATATATGCAATAATAGCAGAGACCTGTGAATGAAAACTAAGCAAGAACAACACACCTAAGATGGTTACAATCAAATGAAAAATGGAAAATGCGAAGGTGTATAGACTTCTAAAATAGTACTACCTTAGCCCTCCTATCATTAGTAAGCTTTTTGAAGCGTCCATCTTTAAATGGATTTTGAGATAAATCCAGCATGCGAATCTTTTCCAGTTGCCCAACCGCCCACGGTAAAGCGGTTATGGCATTTGCCGACAAATCCAATGTCTTTAAATGATGATTTAAGCTAAGTTGCTCAGGCACCTAAAATAGTTCTATAACTTCTGATTCTACGTAGAATACAACCTCGGATACCTCAGTAATTTTGTTGTGGGCAAGATTAAGCGTGTGCAAACGGACGAGCTCCGCACTCATCACTGTCGAAGGCACTTCTACTAAATTATTGTGAGAGAGATCGAGCACCAACAGACCATGCATGGTTGAGAAATCAAACAGTCCTTCACTTGTGAGCTTAAAGAAAATATAATCATTGCGCTCCTGGTTGAAACGATAAAAAAACGCTATGTAAATCCTGGTTCTAAAAAAAGCAACGGAAATTGAGAAAAACCGACCCGATTTCCAGTAGCCACAAAAGTTTCAAGTTTAGTCAGATTTGAAAAGGATGGTGGCAAGTGTTCCAAACCATTGTCGCTAAGATCGATAAAAGTCAACTTCGAAAGTGCTCCTGAAGAAGAATACTTTCGAAAAATAGTATGGTGCGATCGAAATCTAACCAATCTCCTTTGGAACACTGGTGAGCTCATTTCTTGTGATGCTAAGCTTCGTCAGCTGTGAACAAGCAGTGATCGAAGGAGAAAGATACGACAATCCGCATCCTGTTATGCTTATGAAGTTCAGTTGGGGATTCTGAATTTAGGAATAAATGAATTTAAACAATAAATTGAAGACGAACGTACCTTCTCAAAAACTGTTTTTTGAAGACCTTCATCGCTCAGTGCTGATCTCCTCTGGGAATCAACACCTTTTAATACAAGTTCAAATCGCTGTTCCTGCGTTAGGACAGATAATTCCGGCCATTCTAAGAGGTGAGTCATCGCACACGTTCGAAAGTGGCTGAAAGCTTCAACAAATCGCTATAAACTAAAGAACGGCAAGGAACAGGAGCTTAACTGACGAATCTAAGGTGCAACTAGAAAGTCCAGTTGCAACGATAACCCAGAAGATGGTGTCAAGAAATGCGAACTAAGGGGTTCTGAAGAACTCATGGCCAAAATGCATTTAAGATTTCGTTTATAGAATTAAAAAAAAAGATAAGGTCCCAGCGTTGATGAATCCCTGAGAGATGCGCTATGCATTCGGCTTCCATAAGCATCGTTAGAGGTGACTAGATGCATACCTGGCCTTTACAATGACTTGCGGTGGCCTACCGATGTATCGAACCAGTGTTGCTAACCTCCCAGACACGTCTGTTACCAATTTGCCGAACGCGGAAGTATGTAAGGCTTGATGGGCCATAGACGCGGAGACCGATCCAGTGTGTGTTGCAGAGCGCCTCCGAGCATTGCCCCACACGCGCCCGCTTATAGAATTACGTATTAGAATACGTAGACAACTGAGCATAAAATCCTACTCTTTAATACCCTTAGAAATCTAACCTCATTATTGGGGGGTTCTCAATTTCGGTTTAATATTTAGACAGTAAACAATTCGTTCAAACGACACAATGATCGAACAAATACACTAAAAACTATTCATTACAAACACAAATATTAACAATGAAGGGGAACGAAAATAAACAGCCTGGGATATGAAAAGACCACGAATAAAATTTTTAGACGAGTTATAACCAGATGAAGAAGCAATGAAAACGTAATTGGCTCAGGATTCTAAATAATACGAAGTTATTCGTAAATCTGTTGTACACATTCTGGTCAAGTCTCCGTGCAGTCCCCCAACTTCGTCCGAAGTTTATTCAACCGATTATTGAGGGCATCCTTTAGCAAGATGTTCAATAGCGATGATGAGTTATTCGCTTTCTCACCCAAGACTGGTGGAAACGGATTGCCTGAAATGTCCGTGAATGAACAGAAGGTGATAACATATAGCAGACATATAGCAGATTTAGTCCTACCGTCTATTTCCAACACAGCAATTTCGTATCTCCTCCACATCTCCACTGGGCCTTTTTTGTACTGTACAAGACGTTGCGTTGGTAGACGATATATAGAAGTGAATGGGGCTTCGCGATCCACGAATCGAGGTATGATTACCTAAACGCAAATATTACAAAAACATTTGTACGAGAATACGTTCACAATGTATAAAAAAGATATGTTTAAACAAATAGTACGTCCGATGCAAGTTTGGTGCGTGGAAAGGCTGTTCTGTGGAAAGTGCTCTCGCTTTAAAGAGATTTACGAGTTATATTGCTTCATCCTACAATATAAGACACTGTGATAAGGCTTCAACGCGTATCGGCTTTATTTTAAGTTCCAATTTAGCTATACCATTTTAACATATAAAGGCCAAAGTGAATGGATTGTAGCAGTCGTTGTTATGTTTCCTGGCACACAGAGATAATAGATTGCAGTAGTTCCCATAACCGACTTTCTGTTAACCTCAGAAATGATCGAATATTCACTGTTCCCTTAATGAGCAAACATAAGGTTGTTAATCTATTCCTTATTTATGAACAAGCTGACGTTTCTGCGGATTTCACATTCCTCAGAGCCTGGAATCTAAGTTCTCTAGATTGTAGGGAACAAATCTAAGTTTATAATTAGCAGCTTTAACTTCTCGATTATGGAAATTACGAGTAACATCCACATACGTAGTAGTAGAAACGGTTACGGTAGTGTTGATACTACTTACACCTATGAAAGGCCCGTACACAGTATTTAAGACTGCTATTTTAGCGTGAGGGGCACATTACACTTCAATGTGAATTCTGTGCGGTTGTTCTCCAAGTGGCACACTCAGTGGAAGACTCATGGAAAGCGGTAAGGGTGCGAAGAAAGTATTTTGCGATCAATTTGACTGAAATCCTGATTTCGTAATTTCTCTAGTTGCTTATGGAGGTGTTTGGCTGGGTACATTGCAATCAACTTGACTTTTCCAGGCCCTTAGGATGACAACATCCACTGAGATGTAAGCTTGTTTATAAATAATGGATTGCAGTGGATCCATTGCCACCACATATAGGAGGCAATAAATGAACAGCTACTCTGTACAAAACGTCATTGTCGAGTGAAATTTCATCACTTTCGAAGTGTTCCACATCATTAGATTTCACTAGATGCAATCAAAAAGGCATACATCGTACGAATGAGCCGCTGTGGGCTATCAACATGGATAATCACGGTTTCAAAGAAGCGAAGGCGTCGAAGCGTTAGCCACAATAAATTTTATAACCTTGTTCAAGCTCAGTAACCCAAAAATATGTTGTTGAATGAATATTTTCCAGCAAAATGTCTAAAATATCAGTAAAACGTTGTAGTAATACAGTACAAAAAGCGAAGCTTATCATTCGAGCGGTGTTCCACTTCACTGGATTCGACTCTACGTGATAATGAGCAACCACATCACGGTAACGGTCAACCGTGTGCCATCGACTCAAATCTATCTGGCTCGGAAGAAGACGAAGAGGTCGATGCATTAGCCGAGTAAAAGTTATTACCAACCTTGTGTATGCTTAATAACCCACGAAACTACTGTATAAAAACTGTTTCTTCAGATAAACTATATGGAAGCATGTTGATGAATGCGCATTCTATGGACACCGATTCGAAGATGTGCCAACGACATACGATCATAACGTAGCAAAAAGGATGTCCCAAATTATCTAAATTTTGCGTCCATATACATCTGAGAACACGTCTCTGGACCCTCATCATTGGCCACGATTTCTGTACTAGGCACTTTCACAAAGTGCTGAAGTCATTCAGATGGGAAAGCCGCGTAAAAAAGTTCGCTGTAAATTATTAAGCGCATAAAATAGCTTTCTAATGGCCATAGGTGATACGACATGTTTTGCATAAGCTATCGGAAGACTGCAAAAAGGTTAGCAAGAAGAGTGCGGCTAAATGAATCACTGAAAAAATGTATTTAAACGAACGCACTTTGCCCACGCCGCCGTACGCATTGAAGCCAATTCATCTCTGGCAAGTGTTAAGCCAGTAAATGGATGCAATACAATAACAATCACTGCATGATATTAATGATAGTTTTCCTTGAGTTCCATAAATCCTTAAGTATCATATTTCACAAAGACTTACTTTATACATTTTTGTTATCAGATCCCTTTCCGGAAGCCACCATTCCATCATCTCGACGGTGTATTCGTCATGTTCACCCCTTTCTAATCCAAGCTGGATCAGCTAAAAAAAGGAAAGAAAAACAAGATGAAGATAGACACGATAAACACTTGGAATAATTCCCGAAAATCTACATAAAAAGGGAATAAATTTTCCATCCATAAATTATGTCCTGGTTAGCAAAAACGAACAAAATACAATAACTGTTCCCTTTTATTCTTATCCCTGTTTTCTTAAAACAGCTTTTTTTGCTCGGCTGTGCCGCTGGAGCTGCCGTTTGTGAAATTCTTGACAATCGTCCAGTCACCAGATTAGCGAATATTACTTATTCCATAGCCTTTTGCTGCGTTACTATTAAAGTATCGCAGCGATTTACTTTAGGTGTATCCACGTGGAACGACGGCTAACTCTTCTTTGCAAGCAGCATGAGTCGGATGTTCTATGCCAGCAAACCACCCACTTTAAGAACGCTAACATCGAATGCACTTCGCGAACAACAATCGTCGCATAGCTCAATGAGCAAACAAACTAATTCGCAACACACCTTACTATAAACCATGGATTTTAGCTTCTAGTTTTCCATAGCCAACGCTTATTAGAACATCCGCGTTGAGGAAACTAATGACCGTACGTGAAGAGTAGAGTAAAAAATTGCGCAACAAAAGAACAGCCATGAAGAAAATAGACCACATATGAAATACGCAATGAATGGTTAGGATATATAATTACTAACAACTAATTCATATTACTATGAATAAATATAATACAATTCTTACAATTATGCCAATTTTGGCCTACGCCAACAAAGAATAACCACAATGTAACGAAGTCACACATAGATATGTCATACAAATATGTGCGCTTATTGTTATGCGAATGGTTAAAAAGTGTGCTAGAAATTCTATAAGACAACTGGCAATACCCACCCTTTCCATATATGGTCGGGCTTCAACGGCTCTGTTCCACTGGAATTCTGCACGTTCCTCACGAACCAAACGTGTAACAATCCGTCGAAGTACCTTCAAAATCAGGACTAGAACTATAGGAGGGAGTTTATATTAAAATAAAGCACGTATAGTGATATTGAATGCCAAATATTTGAACTCGAAAGCGAGCGCAGCTTATGACCGTTGAATCACTAGAAGTTACGGCTATCAAGCAGTTGATTACCATAGAGACAGCAGTACCAGACTACATCATTGCTACACAGGTTAGCCATCTTATGTTGAATGAACTAATTCATTACTAAGTTAGAGACGGTGAAGGCATAACAACGCAAACGCACACTGTGGAAGTAGAGATTAAGAGCATAGAGCACGTCCAAATCCACGGAAATTTTTCACTATATTCACCTATATCCTTTTGTGAAACGCCAACGCAAAATTCTATTTGACAATAACGATGAGTAGTGACGCATTAGAAGAATAGACAGCACGTCGACTGGCTCTCACCTCAAGACGAGCTCGAGAACTGGGTTCTATGTTCGCGGTCTTCAACCTCTGTGGGATATGTCCAATCGTTGCGCGGATACGAGGAAGAGAAGCGACCACACCATTCGCCATAGTGGAAAATCATACAAAACCTCCAGAAATCTGATGACCACCAATGGAATTTATCTTTCTGAGTACATTCTCTTCACGAAAGTACCGAAACAACAGATGGAGTTCGATATGAAGAAACTTGTAACAGTAATAGGAAATATTTATCACACCTGAAAGAGCCTAACTCTAAGATATTATGCAAATCACAGATGGAACATCAACACAGGTGAAATTGAAAGCTAATGAAAATATCACTAACATGAAAATCATTCAGAAAAAATACAACTTTTGAGCGGGAACAAAAGTCCATACGGTAGGGACTTACATTGGTCCTACCAAAATTAAGAAAAAAAGCTTAAAAACAGATAAAAAAACACCTACGCACTTCAGAAAGGAAGTTTATGCCTAAACCAATTTACAAGCTCAGTATATTTTGAAATCGACGCACCAAAAATGAGAAATTCAAAACTCAAAATCGAACTAAGAGAAAAGCTCTCCAATATAACAACAATATAAATATGTTAATATTAACAATTCTAATTTACCCTGATGAAAACAGCGACATTTCTGATTATTTACCTTCACATCATAGAAAAAACACAAAAAAGTGGAGAGAAATAATTCCATGAGTATAGTTACACTGTTCAGATGCGAAGAGGGAGAACGGTTATAAAGGCTTTCAATAATGAAGTATGAAGTTAAAACAAATGTGTTGACAGCATCAGAAAACTTGGCTCCCTTAAAAAATCGACTCGTGGCTGCGGATTGCGGGGAAAGGTGGACTTCGATCGAGCCGCTTTCGTGGCAAAGCGTTCAGAGTGGTGAGTATATCGCCAAACGAAGGTCGCTTAGAACTCGAGAAGCTCCAACAGCGTAACAATAATTCCTAAAGTAAAGCTAGAAAAGAGGAAAAAGAAAAGACCGCCAATATACTGCAATCACCTTCACGCCATTAGCTGTATTTATGTTACACAGCGGTGCTTTCAAACCATTCCCAACCATCCAAATGATGCGCCCAGGAGTCTCTCCAGAAAACGGAAATGAAGACGTCAACAACTCGAACCAAATTGTACTGCAACAACTTTTGATGACTGGAAAAAAGATGCTATGAAAACCGCAAACAAATAATTCCCTGTAAAGTTCCACAAATACGTTGAAATCAATCATCGTCATAAGTATGGCTAACGTAAAACAAGAACCAAAGATCTCAAAAAATTTCGTAATAAAGAGAGACAACACTTTGCAACGAGTACTATGAAGAAGCTTAAAATTAAACGGTTATTCGCTTCGTTCACACTCTTAAAGTAATGAAACGGACCACCTATTTTTCACTTCAAAACACAAGAGATAGTAAACCGTGTTAAATTGGAGGACAGAAATGCTTGACCAAGGCACAAACTACAAATTGCGCTTAAGTGTTAAAGCCTTACAACAAAAAATATGAAAAGTCAGCCAAAACTAAGAAAAGTGCGTACCTGAAGGCAAATACGTCGGAACTTTCCGAAAACGGCAATTCTCGCCAATTAACGCTAAGGGCTCGAACTAATTCTGGAGCCAGATACGTTAACCAGTGCATTGGTACAATCATAGTATGGTTCCTTAAAAAAATTAGTAGATTCGTTGGATTATATACAGTCCATTTATTGGTCTCATTTTCCACACCACGAAGGCAAACAGCGGTTTACCGCATCGCAGCCGCATGAGGTTATCATTTCTCAGCAATGATCGTTGGGTTTTCTTCTATGAATTCAAAATGAACTAATTAATTACACTTGACACTTGACATTTGAACGGTCCGTCGTCACTGGTTGTCATGCATAATCACCATTTATCGGAGATTTGATGGTTAAACCATTATGGTTACATGGAATCCCAAGGTCAGTCTGGCCAAAGTTGGCCCCACCACCAGAAGCAGTCGCACCTCTTCTGGTTTAGAGGGAGATTTGCCACCATGCGACTACTTTGAAGCCAGGACGGTGGTGGATCCTGATATTGGTTTATTCTCAGCTAGGCTTCCTGATGGAAACTCCGCACTTCTTCTCAGCTTGGGAGACCCTGCCGGAGGATGAATTCCACTGCTGTACATCGCAGTCCGACACCCAGGAACACCTCCTAGCCACGATGAGGCGGTAAACCGTTGGGAGGAATTAATTACAATATTTACAAAGTGGTACCGAAAGCCAAGTAGTAAAAACATTTTGGTTCATTACCTCTCCTCTCACCCCTCTCACACGAAAAGGGCGCTTATAAGAAACATGTTTCGAACAGCAACCAACGTGTGCACGGGAAGAGAGCAGAGAGAGGAGTCCCGGAACTTGGCGCGGCAAATAGCCGTTTCTAATGGCTACGAAACTGTAGCTCAGAATAGGTGTAGAGGAAATCGTAGGCCTCCAAACGACAACTCTAGCGATAGAAGGGTCCCGTTTATCCTACCCTTCATCTCAAATGATATAAGTACAGCTATAAGACGCTGCTTAAGAAGGGCGGGCTTAGAGAATTCGGTGAGCGTACTTGAAATACCACCGAGTAATCTTAAGCGCCAGCTAGTTCGTAACCGCCTATATGACCGTCTATGTGCAACTCAAAATTGCATAATTTGCCCCAGTGGTAGAGACGGTGATTGCATGAGCTCGGGTATAGTTTATCTGTTCTCCAGTAAGTTTATCTCCTGTAAGACGTGTGGTGACGAATACATTGGCGAAACGGGTAGACCCCTCTGTGTCCGCATGAAAGAACACCTAGCCGGCAAAAATAGACCAAATACCCCGCTAGGCACGCATAGGACCCAGAGACATAACGGGGACGACTTCGAAGTATGTGTCACGATCCTCGCACGCGAATCAAGAACACAGGCGCGAAAAACTCTCGAGACACTCTGGATTAATTCCAGAAATCCGAAAATGAACCGCAGGGAAGAATGCCTTATTATCACGCGTGATATAGGGCAGTATATAAAACTACTTTTCTGATGTGAGGGGCACATTATACTTCCATGTGATTTCTGTGCGGTTGGTCTCTACGTGACATACTTAGTGGAAACCTCATAGGAAGCGGTGAGTGTGCAAAGCTGTGTTCAAAGTGATTGAAATCTTGGTTTGGAGTTTCTTTGTTTGGTTATGGAGGCGTCTGGCCGAGTAGATTGCTATCAACTTNATCTCCTGTAAGACGTGTGGTGACGAATACATTGGCGAAACGGGTAGACCCCTCTGTGTCCGCATGAAAGAACACCTAGCCGGCAAAAATAGACCAAATACCCCGCTAGGCACGCATAGGACCCAGAGACATAACGGGGACGACTTCGAAGTATGTGTCACGATCCTCGCACGCGAATCAAGAACACAGGCGCGAAAAACTCTCGAGACACTCTGGATTAATTCCAGAAATCCGAAAATGAACCGCAGGGAAGAATGCCTTATTATCACGCGTGATATAGGGCAGTATATAAAACTACTTTTCTGATGTGAGGGGCACATTATACTTCCATGTGATTTCTGTGCGGTTGGTCTCTACGTGACATACTTAGTGGAAACCTCATAGGAAGCGGTGAGTGTGCAAAGCTGTGTTCAAAGTGATTGAAATCTTGGTTTGGAGTTTCTTTGTTTGGTTATGGAGGCGTCTGGCCGAGTAGATTGCTATCAACTTGACCTTTCCAGGCTCTGAGGAAGGCGAAATCCGCCGAAACGTCAGCTTAATCGTGAACAAAGAATAGTAACATCTCGCGTATGCTCATCAAAAATACGAAGAATAATTACAATATATTATTTTACTATAACAAGTGTATGCGCCATGTACATGATTTGTGATTCTGCAAGAGCATTTGGCAAAAGTGGGGTAGGTAACACGACGACCTGAGTAGTGTTAATATAGCACACACTCATAATCGGTGTTCTAATCGACCCAGATACAAAGTAGTGAACACACCGAACACACCGACACACCGAACAAGGTGAGAGGTTCAAGCACCACTAAGAAAGCTAGAGAACGACATGTTTTGAGGATTAAACGTCGCATACGACTCCAGTAGGAAAACTTCGAGATCTGGATAAACATGAATAAAAAACAAATAGGCAAACGCAGTGTAATGAGAAGCGCTGATTAGAGGTAGAGAAAAGAGAACAGTGAGTGAACCACACAGAAAGGCTATTTCCGAGGTTGAAACGATTTGCGGAAAAGAGAATAATACATGCAGATGGCTTCACACTTGAAGCAAATCACCACCATGGGTAACAATCCCAACGTAATGAAACAAACTGACAACTTGCGGGACCTGCAGGCAATCAAAATGTCCAAAGAATAATAGTAAAAGATGATATAAGAACGAAAATTGACCAAACTAAAATGGAAAGTTCATTTAACACTGATGTTGAACAACAATACCTGCTCGGGTTTTTCAACCGCTTCATGCTAAACAGACCAAAATCAGTGATGACAACTTTGTTCTTGCTTTCAATGAAGATGTTTTTCGAACGGAGATCTTTATGAAGAATCTTCTTCGTGTGAAGATATGACACCCCCTGAAAACTACAACACTGCAAGTTATACGGATATTAACACGTTGTGCTATGTCACAACAATAATACCTAGTAACAACAAACCAATTCTGAATCACCTGACAAATCTGTGTAGCGATCACTAGGGCAGTACCCAGATCGATAGATTCATTCGTCTCGTGTAGAATGGAGTACAGTGGACGCCCCTTACACAAGCTCATCACTATACCAAATTTGTCTGTTTCAAGGCAGTAACCAAGAAAGAGAACGATATTGTCGTGCCGAGTATTCTGTAAGACATCTCAGCAGTATAAACCAGAAATATGTAAGAATGCCAAGCACTAAATAGGCAAACCTTATGAGCTGCGACCTCTGACTTAAATTCATCTAGACGCTTTGACTCCTCAATGTGGTCCATTTTCAAAAATTTCACAGCAACATCCCCGAAATGATAGCCACGCAGAACCTGAGGAGAACAACTGCTATATTAACTGCATCGGTGCATTCCATTTCTTGTATTTCAACTGTCAACAGATGTACAAGCAAGACATTTACACTACTGTCAAATAGATTACGAAGAAAATGCTAAGGATTTTGAAACTTTGTAAGTTTTCGGCCACAGTTGTTAACATACATCACCAAATCGGCCACGGCCAATGAGACAGTTCTTCTCAAAATCGATCTTTTGAAACGGAATAGTGACCTCATTCCAGCTGGCCTAAATTAAAGGGGAAAGATGCAGAGATTGTTTATAGAGAATAAATTGAAAGAAAAATGGATATACAACTTCACAGAGGTGAAGTCCTAATTACAAGCCGCTACTTTAACTACATAGCAAGTTTTTAAAAATAAATTTTGAAAATAACCGTCACGTAGCAATTTGAAAATTGCATGAGAAACATACTGCGAAATTAACGACTTCACATTGTCTTCATCTGGACACAGAAACTATGGAAACACACCTGGGCGTTTGGTCCACGTATGGTACTCATGTTCCATTTATTCCGATCCCATGTGTGACCACCTTGACTTCCATTTGGTGATCGACCGCCAGTAGAAGCGTCACTCAAGGCTGCTTCAGTCTTGAAATAACCATTCCATTACAACTAATACAACTTTGAGAAATATATTTAATACTTGAGTACTTAGGATGCAAGTGTTCACGAATAACCAAGGGACAGCGCAATTTGCATTTGACAAAAAATTTTCTGGATGGATGAGTTTTTTTCTTGAAAACTGTCCTAAAGATTTTGTGGGCCACCACTGTCTCCCGGTTGGTGGTTATATTGTTGCCAGGATTGCAGTGATTCTTGGCATTGGTTGATTGCCTGCTAGACATCCAAAAACTCATTCCTGGCTTGAGAAACTCTGTTCAAAGACAAGCACCTACATTACATTGCAGTTTGGCACTTAGCAACAGTGCCTAGCCAAGACTTATTTAAGTGTTATGCCAGGAATAGGAATGTCGCATACAAAATACTTGAAAATAATCAAATCTAAATATATAGTAACATAGAAACATCTACTGAAGGAGAGACTTGAGTAGAAATCGGTTATCGGTAAACTCACTCCTCCGCTTCCTGTTGAATCGACAATCACAGTACCTTCACTCCCTTCACCTTGCCTCGAAACGAATAGTGAACGACCTTCACTGAAATCTGATCTGCTACAAATCTATCTAAATGCTTTCCACTTTGAATTACTATGCAAACTCGTGTTTCATTTCTTTTTCTGTAGAAAACAAGAACGTTTTAGAAAAGTGTTGAGACAGTAAGTAGAATGGACCTCATGTCAGGTAAAACGATGTCCGGAACTTCCGGTACAGCATCAGGGAAAGTGAATTTACGTTCATTGCTTCGTGAAGGTGCAGTTGATAAAGCATAAGGGCTGCTAGCACATCCAAGACCTAGAAACAGCAATTCCTCTTCTTAACAACGGTGTAAGATAAAATTCCTCAACGAAGTAAACATAACCAATTCTAAGTATCACTCTTTGGGGATTTTCAGGGATTGATTAATGCTGAGAGCTCTATCCTTCACCCTTCTTCTTTGCAGTGGAAGGATACTCAAAGAGAATATATAAAAGAAAAAGAAGTCAAAACGAACATACACTTACCTAGTGGAAGAGCAGGAGTACTGGGAGCTGAGCTATTCGTTGAAGAAGAACTATCTCCAATTCCAACTGCCGAATCTGGGTATTGAAACGCCGTTTCATTCAACGAGCGTGACATTGGCACTGCACTTTGTGGATCATTCCAAATATCCTAAAGTACTTTTCTAACGCATTTGCAGTATGAATCAGCATAGAAAACCTTGTCAACAGCGATCGGTAAACAATTAGAGGTGAAGCATAACGTTTACGGCACAGGTTTTTTCTATCCCATGATCAAGATATTAAAATTCCTGACAACATAAAGCTTAATATAACGACGAGGATGCTGAGATTTGAGTAAAACTCAGAATCTCAGGTGGGCTTCGTGACCACGATTACCCGTTCCGGGGGCACATGTGCTATCCACTCCACCACACCAACCGAGTGTCCTGCTTTGCCTTTGTTAGTTTTTACACTAGTGGTGGTGTCAGCAATCACCCGTCGGGAATAATCTGGCTATAAAAACCACGGGTTCGAAGTCCAACTGAAGTCCTCAATTCTACCCATTTGTCAACATCCTTGTGGTTGTATTTCATATCCGACCCATCAGTGAAGAAAGCATGGATAGTAAAAAAAAGTTAGAACATTGTAAACATTGAAGTTTCGTCGTTGACACAAAGAAATCAACGCGGAGAATTCACAAAGAAACAACCACATGGTATTTATGTAACAATCACCTCACCCCATTGTTCTGTTGAACCAATTTATCGAACAGAATTCGCAAGTGCTCAGGTGTGAGGCCACATGAGTCCCCAATACGACTACGACAATGAGTATGTACTTTCCATCTAAAAACCAAAAACAAATAGATAAATAAAAGCCCCAATGAATGAAGGTCTGAAAACGCCACGTTTAAACTAGATGAACTTTAAAAGATATACAGTATTCCTACTTGCAAGATCGACATTTCTCCCACGCATGAAGAAACCCAAACCCAAGAGGTCGTTGACAAAAATGACACACTAGAAATAACACTCTAAAATTCCATTGAACTTATAATCACGAAACTTAAAAAATCGATAATAGAAGGTGAGGGTACATATAAGAAAACGTACCTGATTCACTATTTAGACGAAATTTCGTGGTCTTTGTCCACTTGTGAGGAATGGCATGAACTAACCGCGAGGGTTTGGGCGATCTTTGAACACCTGCAATGGACGCAAAGTAAGATAGAGTGCTGCCAGTCTAAATCTAATAAGCTCTAATAAGCTAGCTTCCTCTAAAACAAAGACACTCATTTTAACCAGAAAGAGTTGCCACTATTACGAAGCATTAATACTGAAAGGATACGTTAAACCAAATTCCCTGACGTATGAAAACAACTGATCCACAGTGTCCACAAGAGATAATGGGTATGTCTGACGACAGTGGAAAACTGGAAATCCCAAAGATAACTTAAAGAGAAGCTTTTAACTCAAATCGCAATTGCTGTATTCCGATATTTGCTTTGTACAGCCTAGATGATCGGCAATTACACCATGTTCGTCTTGCTAATGACATCGTTCTTATAACACCAAACATTAGCCAAGCTGAAAGAATGCTTGGCAACTTTGACAAAATCTGTGGAAAGTTTGGTCTTCAACTAAATCTCACAAAAACGATGTTCATGAGGAAAGTATCGATTACGTATGCACCATTCACGCTCAGTGGCATGAATATATTTTCGACTGCTCCAGTTACGCCTATCTAGGTCGGGAAATCAACATAATGAACAACTTAGCTCCAGAGCTAAGCAGGAGGAAACGAGCTGCATAGGAAACTTTCAAGATCAACGACGATGTGGTGAACAGAATAAAGAAAACCCGACTTCATACCCACTTTTCAGACTCCATGATTCTTCCTGCCTTGCATCGTATGCATCAGAAACGTGGTCGCTGCGTAAGCAGGAAGAGAGGGTCACTCAACGTTATTGAACGCTCAGTCGAAAGGATTATGCTAGGGAGTAACACGTGTCACACAAGTGAGGGAAGGTATCCAAAGCCCCGACATATGTCAACGGAGAAAAATTAAAAACGGGATTCTCTATGCGAAATTGTCAAGGGTAAGATGAACACGTAATCCGGATGAACGACAACCGATGGCCAAGAGTCGTTAGCGACTGGATCCTTGGAATGTCAATTGAAGGAAACCCACTGACCCGATTGCCAGAGTTTTTCACGAAAACCCAAGAATAAAAGTATGAGCCCGTACGCTAGTTCGAGTCATAGACGATCAACAGGACGAGAGGTGAACAGGCGATAATGCAATATTTTACATATCTTTCATTTTCACCCATATTTGAGTAGAGTCGAGATGCTTTGATGTCCACAAAGATACCCTACATGTAAATACACTGTTGAGAGCTCCACCGAGTTCATACAGGAATTTGCTTCCTTGTAATAAAAATTAAATGACCAAAATGTTGTTCCACACCACGTCAACTGATTTTTAAGTGATTTACCATGTTACAGTTTATATAGAAATAACATCTCTCCAAATAAATGCATATCATTTTCCTTCGTGTGTTCAAACATTGGTATATTGCTGCAGATGTATTTGAAACGTCAATAAAGTACAGGTCAAGAAAGCGCATATCGAAGATATTGATTCATGTAATGGAAAATTCACGATTGACGAAACCAATGATAACCGTCTAAAAACTAATTCAAGAGAAGCAGCAGAACTCTCTGCTGATTAATAAACAATCTCGTTTATAGGACATAAGAAAAATTAAAAATCCCAAAAAATATTGTCATATTATGTCGAGTTTTTATTTGCGGCCTAATATTATTTTTCATGGTAGCGCAAAATGTGGAATACAACCACGATGCTGAGATATATGCAAAACTCCGGACCGCGGGTGCATACGGTGGGTATCGAAATTAACTTCATTAACCACTACAGTGCTGAGATATTTGCAGAAGTTGGACCGCCGGCCACATCGAACCGCAACTACTTTTTTCGGGGCTCAAGTGTTACCCATGAGACCACTGAAGGCCTCCATAACAGGACTAATTACTCAAGTATGAGCTATTCGCTTCATAGAAAGTCAAGGCGTTAAAGTATCAACCAAAAAAGCCAAGTTTTGTGGAATAGATAACGGTCAGAACAATGGATGCATGGTGAAGACATCATGTGAAGCAAAAGTGCCTCATCCAGATCCAGAAACTTCTAGTCACTATCGTTCTGAACAATAAAACGCCAACTAACTAATAAATATTCAGTATGGGTTTCCGCAAAACCCAGGCTAATTTTCTAGGCAATATGGTGAGCCTTATGCATATTTAGATAACAATACAGTGGTGCAGGCCTACTTTACAGATCACTTTTACTTGATACTTTCAAGCTTTCATGTGTTCTCAAGACCAGAACAGCATGACCACATAAGTAGCAAAACATATAAATACAAGGGCAAGGTAAAAAAATTGATCGAGAGAAGGGCTGAAACGAGGGCCTCAGTGACGCCGTACGTAACACCTGAACCGTCGAAAAGTGTAATCGCAGTTCGATCTGATTGGGGTCCAAGTTTTGCAAATATCTCAGCATCACTATGATTGTTATATTAATTCAACGAAGAGTAAGCAGATGGTCGTTATGAAGTTTGCCCTGCATTTCTTTTGCGCGTTCCCCATAAACAACTGAAGATGTTCTGCATGAAATGGAAGTTCGTTAACTTGATGCCATTTGCTTAAAAAATTTCGTACTGTGCTTATGCGTATCCATACACCGACTTTCATGGTCATCTCAACCTATGTAGTCCTTCGAAAGGGTTTACTGTTTAGTATTAAGCATTTCTACGATCGCTTGAGAAAAATTCAATATCAGGGGCTGTTAGTCAAGGTAAAGATTCCTCCTCTCGGAGGAATAACTACAAAACGCCCTAAATCGTCGATATAAAATTTTCCTTAGAATGAGGTTCTCAACCGTTTATGGAAAAAATTCGCATATTCTATCCATACGGTGTACATCATAACTAAGCCTGTTCTCATTTACCTTTATCTCAGAAGTTTAGAACAACACACAAAGTTATTTACAAATCTACAACCAAGTGCTAAGTGACAGGAACAGTTGCCCCACCCAATAATTAGCGGAAACGAAAATCTAAGTTTCAAAAACTAGAAATTCACAAAGAAAGCCAACTTACCAAACTGCATACTGGTCGACTGGACGACACGACTACTCGCACCCAACGTCGGCGTTGACTGTGCGCTACCCCATTTGCCAGGAGACGGCGGTGACAGTGTGTGGCTGCGGTAGTTTCCTCCAGCACCACTTAACGATGAAACTGACACCGTCAAAGAGGCGCCACTACCAGATGCACTATGACTAAAATACTAATATTTGGTAGGAAGCATAACATGTATCGGACCTACGCAAGCGTTATTTCACTGTGAAGTTTTGCGAAAAGGTTACACTCAACCTGTTACCGAGATGTTCCACCACATCACCTAATTTGGGAAATGCAGATAATAAAATATAAAACCCAGGAAAAATATTTATGGACCCTTTAATTTTTGCCCTCCCAACGGTTTACCGCCTCATTATGGCTAGAAGGTGTTCCTGGGTGTCGGACTGCAGTGTACAGCGAGGGGTTCAACACCTGGCAAGGTCTCCCAAGCTAAGAAGGAGTCCGGCGTTTCCATCAGGAAGCCTAGCGATGAGTAAACCAACACCAGAATCCACCACCGTCCCGGTATCAAATTAGTCTCCGAAAAATGGAGATTATGCGGAGGCCCGCACAACCAGTGAGGACGGGCTAAAGTTAATTCCTACTGTTTTTGTCAGCACGATAACATGTTTGGCTCCAAGATCGGCCAAGTTCAATTTTTAGAGAAGACCTAAGACCTTTCACATCACAATCAATTATTTTTCAGACCTGAAGGCAAAACCCATTGTTCAGGAAACAAACTGCATACACGCGAGCACAAACACTACGTACACTGTGCACAAATACATCTACGTACATATTAAACGTACAATGTTCACTTTTTATTTCTTGCCTATTATAAATTTTCACGGCAGGGTATTAAGTGGAATACGATCATAATGATACGGAGATATTTACAAAACCCTGGATCACAGGTGTCTCGGGTGGGGAAC